AGAGAGAGAGAGAGAGAGAGAGAGAGAGAGAGAGAGAGAGAGAGAGAGAACACTCCAGAGACAGGGAGTGGGGAAGCAGAGAAGTGGGGAGACAGGAGAGAGACAGAAAAGAGAGAGTGCAGGCTAGAGGAGGCAGGATATCTGCTTCCCTTGGCTGAAGGGGAGGGATTGTGAGAGGGCGGGGCTTGTCTCTTAAAGGGACAGGGTACCCAGATGACAGACCAGGCCAGCAGATCTTAACACATAACACAGGGTTAGATCATATATCATAACACAGGGTCCTCATATATACTGGATCTACAGTTATAGGTGACTGTGAGCTGCCTGCTATGGGTTCTGGGAACTGAACTTGGGTTCTCTGGAAGAACAGCAAATGCTCTTAATCATTGCTCCATCTCTTGAGTTCCTGGTGCCCTCTTCTTAGAGGAGCTCTTAGGCCCCTGGGGCTCCCATACCTGATGTGCATCTCCAGCTCAGATCTCCTATAACTCAGTGCTCATAAAGTTCCATCTCTGGTTGTCTCCCCTCAGTTGTGAACTCAGAGGTCAGCTGTTCTTGTTTTATGGATAATGACGTGAGATTCTTTGGTCAGTAAGAAATGCCTCTCTTATGTCACAGACAGCATGAGCAATGACTTTGCCCTCAAAGTTCTATAGCACCAATCGAGATGACTGCCTCGACTAGCAGGGCCATGGCAGAAGAGCGGCATTGGCGTGGGAAGTATTCTGCTCTTCCAACCTACAGTTGACAAGCAGGCTGCTTGTCCTGAAGGAAGGATCACCTCATCCCCTGAGATGTCCCACCGTGAATGCATCTCTAAGAAATGTCCAGAATCTTACATTCCTGACATAACTAGCAGGAATATTCATGCTGTAAATTTAATATGAACTCTTTGTTTCCATATATCCTAAACTTGTTTCTTCTTTATTTCCTTATTTCCTTCCCTTCCCACCCTCTCTCCCTCCCTCCTTCCTTCTTTCAGTCCTTCCCTCTTCCTCCTTATTCTTTCTTCGAGACAGGGTCTTAGAAATCTGATACCAGCCTGAGCAATACTGCCATGAGACTTGTCTCAAAAATAAAAATAAAAGTAGTTTTAAAAATGCACATATGTACTCATTTGTGGAATCCAGTGTGGTATTTCAATACATAAATACAGTGTGCAGCTGGCCACATTGAAGTAAGTAAAACCAATTTTATAGATTTGCTATATATATTATGTGTATATTTGCATGTCTTTGTGTGTAGGTAGTTGTATAGGCCCTGTGTTAGATCCCTGGAGCTGGAGTTACAGTCATTTATGGTCCACCCAAAGTAGGTCTCCTGGGAAGTGAACTTGGGTCCTCTGTAAGAGCAGTATGAATCCTGGAGCCATGTCTCCATCCCCCTAAAATTAATTTTAATAATGTACTACACATATATATCTAAAATATTTCAAAATTTAACATATCTTACATTTATGGTCAATATTAAATAAAAATGAGATATTTGATATTCTCCTTATACTGCTTTTGAAATCTGTGTGTATTTATTCTTCTGCCACATTTCAAATATTTAAGAGCCAGATATAGTGAGTATGGTATTGGACAATAGGCGCTTCTAATTTTTTCAAATTCCCTATGCAAGAGCTGTCAGATTTTAGTCTTTGTATTATCCTTGCTTTATGAAACATTTGTTCTCCTGTGCTCAGTAAGTAGCTAATCTGTTGTTTCAATAGCATATTTATTATAGTGTATGTAGTAGTAAGGCTGTTTATTTGTTCCTGGCTGCCCAGACCCAAAATAATCACACAGAAACTATATTATTTACAACACTGCTTGGACTATTAGCTTATGCATATTTCTAGCTCATTCTTATATCTTAAATTAACCCATTTCTATAATTTTATATTTTACTCTGAGACTTGTGGCCTACCAGCAAGGTTCTGGCTGATGGCTTGTGCTTTCTCCTCTGTCGGTTCCATGGCTTCTCCCTGACTCCGCCTACACTCTCTCTATATATCTCTTCCAGCCTGGCTACATTCTCTTAAGCCATTGGCTGAAAGCAGCTTCTTATTCATTAACCAATAAAAACAACACATATACAGAAGGACTTCCCACACCAATTAGTGTTACCCAGTTTCATGTTACTGCTAGAGGCTTCATAAGAGAAAGTATAATCTTATAAAATATTTCCAGTGGCCGTCATGTTTGGATCTATGGTTAAAAAAAATAGTACAGAAGGTTGAAATGAGAGGGAACAAAGGAAAGGTCAGAGGAATCCACAGGAAGACTGTGTATTAGTTTGACTTCTGTTGATGTGAGAGATACTGTGACCAAAGCCAGCTCGGAGGAAGGGTTTATTTGGTTTACACTTTGGTGTCGCAGTCCATCATGGAGGGAAACCAGGGCTGGAACTCAAGCAGGAATCTGGAGCCCGCATAAACATGATACCCCAAACAAGAGTAGAAACATACCTACAGTATAATAAAATTAACTTTAAATTTGTATCAATATACACAAATCCATACCAATGTAAAATGTTTAAGGCTAGTAGTTACTTTGTAAGTTTAAAAGTAGATTCCATAATCTATCCTTTTATCCTATCATTTCTATGTAGTGATATTTCATTTGTATTTTAATAAATATAGCTAATCTGTAGATCAGAAAAGCAAAACAGTCAGCCACTGGCTCTTACTTACCCTACCTTAGTCCACAATGGCGATCCTGCCTCCGGGAATCTCAGAATGAGACTGTGTGCGACAGCTATCTCCTCCCATCTTATATTCCTCTCTAGTGCTGGGATTAAAGGTGTGCACCACTACTGCCCAGTTTCTATGGCAAACTAGTGTGGCTACTGGGATTAAAGGTGTGTGCCACCACTGCCTGGTCTGTAAGGCTGATCAGTGCAGCTGTTTTACTCTCTGAACTTCAGGCAAACTTTCTTTATTAAAATACAAATGAAATATCACTACATATCTGTATCCCCCTTTTGCTTTTTAGAATGAGATCCCTGAATCTAATCTCCTTTGTTCGGCTTTATATTGATAATGTCAGGAATAGCACACAACACAAAGACTCTAAAGGAGGCGGTTCTTCAGTTGAGGTTCCCACTTTCTAGATGACTCCAGTTTGTTTCAGGTTGACAGAACCAAGCAGTACACCTTGCATGGTGTGGTGGTGGTGATCATTTGTCATGAGGATATGTGAGCAATAAAGGTAGAGCCCTGTCTCCCCGCTGCTGTTCTGGCCTCTCGTGTCAGCTCACACCACAGCCGCTAAGCTAAGAATTTAATAATTCTTACATAAAGTATTTGTTTTTTTCTTGACAAATAAAATTCTTCTAAAATTATCCAGAATGGTAAGGAAATTAAAGTGTTGACTGAACGTATGTGAAATTTAATTAACATTCAAATATGACTTTAATTTGAATGGAAATATATAATAATCTACTACAAATCTCATCATTATTTGCAGAGAATATTGAGTTGGATACTTTTTAAAGGTTATTTGGTGGATTGAATTTCATTGTTATGAGGAAGGATGGAGAAAGTGTCTATATTGTCCTCAGCTGAGCTTTCTATTACACTAGTACTTGACTCTCCCAGTGTCCCCAGAACCCATTTATGTGTTTAGAGAAAGGTACTGGCTATTTTGCCTTTAGGAGTATTTAGGAAGGGAACTTGTCCAGTCTAGCCAGTTGTGGCATCATCGTTTGATCCTATGTAGTTTGGTGCTGGAGACCATGATTTAAGTTCTTTGGCAAACCTCTGGGATAGACAGCAGCATCCTCATTCTACAGATGTGGAATCTGAGGCTCTAGTGTTATGGGAATCCATCTTTCAAAACAAGCAGCACCCATTGAGCTGTACAAAAAAGCTTTATTCAAGTCCAGTAGGCATGGACCAAAGCTAGTGTTTTGCAAAGTCTGGTCCCAGCCTACAGTCTTACAACTTATATAGATTGAGCAACAGTGTGAAGATTCCTATCTGCATGGACCTTATGAGGGTTGTCTCTGGATCTCATGACCACTGAAGGAATGTTTCCATTACAGTTTAAATGTGTTTGCAAAAGCAGATGCTGTGTGTAGCCATTGGGTCTTTCTTACTTTAGCAAATATCACCAACTATTTCTACAGATAGCTTTGTAAGCATTTGCCTTTTCAAGATAAGAGGACAAGATTCAGCTGAAATAAGCAAGAGTACAGTGAGCAGAGAGAAGTAAAATTTAACTCGGCCTGTCTCTACTCAGTCCTATAGCTAGAACTTATGAGGCTCCCACAGTATAAGGCTAGAGTTGGATTTGCTAGGCACATATTAGCGTACTAAGTGTTTAACATATATTCTCTTTCCTTCTCCATTAGAGTTAAGCAACGGTTGAAATCAGACATCAGGTGGCTGCCATTCTTTCTTCTTCATGTCATCCCATCCTGATCCCTTCTCTGGAGCTTTGAGATTTTGAACTAGTCAGGGTTTGCATTTGCCAGTCAATGAAAACGTTGGTCTGCCCTGGTTCACTTGTGTGCCTTTTACTTTTCCCAGAAAGTTTCTTGTACAGTTGTGAACCAATACTTGATCGAGGTGATTTGCAATATTACCGGTGATTCAAAATAATTTAGATAATTATAATTTGATAATAGATATATAATTATAATAGATAATAGATAATGTGATAATTTATACTTGTCTTTCCAGAATTTATATTCTGAAACTGTTTACAACTTTGTTTTTTTCCTAGAGAGATTGGGACAATTATCAGGTCACTGGGATGCTGCCCTACTGAAGGAGAGCTACACGATTTCATTGCAGAGGTAGGTAGGTGGCTGAGGAAGTGTCACTTGGCTGAGTCTAGAACTCCTTGTAATTAAAAAAAAACTTACATAAAACTAAAAACTCCCTAAACTACTCAGGGTGCTGTTTGAGAGTGTTAGGGTAGCTATGCACGTAAGTCAGCAATAGGACCTGAAAGCATTTTGATCAAGCCTTGAAGGTATGACAACTATTGATATATAGTTTTTAAAGTAGTTCAAGATAGGCCAATGAAGACGAGGAAGTCTGACCACATAGGGAAAGACCAATAATAGATATATTTAGTAATAATGTTGGATAACAGGGTGAGAGACTGCAAATTTTATTTATTGGAAATAAATAAAAAAAGAAATAAAACTAAGTTTCAGGACACATATAATAATAAATGGACTAAAACAGAGAGCACTAACCAGTCTAAAAATCTAAAATAATTATTATTCATAATAACAAAAAGTTAGCCATTACTAGTTAAAAGATCTTAATTGGCTTTCTTCTGTGGTTATAGTTTCCTTAAAATGGTCAGCATTACTGACTAGAGGAGGCTGGTGTTTATGCTTTCCTCAGCCTCGAGAGAACAAAGGACAAAGATCTGATTGACTGTTTTGGAGTTACTTTCCTTATAAGGCAGGTTAACATCAAGTTACTCCAGGCAACTTTTTTTGCCAAAGATTAAAACAGAAGGACTTTCTTATCATGCCCATTGAAGCTGGCTTTCCTGGGAAATTTATGTTTGGTAGTGTTTGACTTTATCATGGGTGACTCCATTTTGGTTTTAAGTCTATTCTTTGGGACCTAGTGTAAGAGCTGAATCCAAAACAAAAGTTACTAGTAATCATTGCTGGCAGTGTAAACTGAGGCTGGGAGAAAGAAAGCAGTGGATGAGCAGTCCATGCCCAGGGAGCTTCATACTTTATCTTGCTTTCAGAAAGATCTTTGATTGAATGTTAAGTGAAGGTTTTAGTTAAACAAAAAGAGACCTTAAGAGGAAAAAAGATGCCTGGGTCACAGAGTTGCTTTTTTTTTGCCTGGTGGGTTTGGTTGGAGGATTAACAAGGGATGAGAGAGAAAAGCAAAGAGGTGGAATTTGACCTATCCCCTTACTCCTTGTACTGGTAGAGCCCTTGTCTATTCTATTACCAACAGATTTTTCTTTGGGTTGCAGCTCCCAAAAAACAACATGGAGACTTTTTATTAATTATGAAAGATTGACCTATAACTTTGGCTTGTCCCACTAGCTTTTATAGCTTAAATGAACACATTTATATTAATCTATGATTTGCCTTGTGACTTTTTACCTCTCTTCCATCTTGTACCCCATTTCCTCTCCATGTCCTCTTGTGTCATTTGATTCATTTCCTTGATTCATTTCCTCTTCCTCTTCCTCTGCTTGCTCTCTCTCTCTCTCTCTCTCTCTCTCTCTCTCTCTCTGCCCAGAAGTTCCACCTATCCTCTTCCTGCCTAGTCATTGGTCATTCAGCTCTTTCAGATCTTTAGTAAACCAATCAGAAAGCACCTTGACTGTTGTCTGAGGTTTCTGTCCTTCCCGGTTCCCACAGTCATTAACTCCCAAAGGAATCACACAGAGGTCTACGTTAATTATAAACTGATTGGCCTATTAGCTCAGGCTTCTTATTAACTTTTATAATTTATATTAGCCCATAATTCCTGTCTGTGTTAGCCACATGGCTTGGTACCTTTTTTGATGAGGCAGTCATATCTTGCTTACTCTGTGTCTGGCTTCCTCTGTGTCTGGGTGATGACTGAAGACTGAATCTTTCCTTTTCCCAGGATTCTCGTTGCCCCACTTCTACTTCCTGCCTGGTTGCCATCGCCCTGCCTATACTTTCTGCCTAGCTACTGGCCAATCGGCATTAAAAATTATACAAGCGACAGGATAAAAGACTATTGTCCCACCGCACTTGACAAAGACACATATTCACAATGTACAGAACATTATTCCACACCATTCCATGATGTAAGAAGGTTAAGAAGAAGGAATTCGGGATTTTAGACTGATGTAGGAGAAACCTGAAGTTAGTAAAATCGATGCTGCAAAGGATTTACTAGTTACTGTAATTAGAAAATACTCTGGAGCGCTGCCTCCAGTGTGATTGGGAGGTAAGTACTGTACTCACCAGACTTGTCAGGAACGCTAGGAGTGAAAGTTTGTACCACAACTGAAGTTTAGGGATGCTCAGAAAGTTTCTGCCAATGTTTATTTAGTAATATTGACCTCCAATTAGGCTCCATTCCCATTACAACCAGCCATTAGGCTCATCCCATACCGAAGAACATGTCTCCAAGGGCCAGTTCAAGGAGGTAGCAGGGCTATATCCACCCTGCCATTACATCTCTGTGCTCTAATCAGAAAAAGCACAGTACTGCCAGGTGGGCAAGGTGACCCTGGGTAGCCACTATTCAAAAAGAACAGCACTGGGGTACTTAAGAAATGCTTATGGCAATATCTTTTTGTGTAAACCTCGCATCTGCCCATCTGTCCAAAAGACTAGACTTGCAGTCTCCTGTCTCTGTTTAAATTGTTCAAAGTGGAACCTGGAGCTGGGAACTGAAGGAGGCACAAGGGTGATATCTATGAGACGCACACACCTGTGGTGTATAAATCAGAAAGCCTGCTCAAGGCCAGCCCCTCTTTGAGCATTAGCCAGAGCTGGGTGCTGCTACGCTAGAGAGTTTTATGACTCTCTAAGTGTGCAGAGTGATTTCTCACTAGGAAGGCATATCCATTCTAGAATAGGGCAAGCCAGTTGATTTCTGTTGAGTATCAGTTTCTCCATAATAATGCCAACTTCAAAGTTTGCCTCAAAGACGCACTCAGTACTGTATTACAAGCCAGTTTTAAATGAAAAATACTGGGAAAGTCAGGCAGTTTACAGTCAGGTGGACACTGCTGCTCAGCTATCAGCACCTTGGCAGCTCTTAGCTGTTTTCACGTTCCTGTGACCACAGTCCCTGTCGAAGGCAGCTTGAGGGAGCCAAGACTTGTTTTGGAGCATGGTTCTAGAGCAGCGACTCTCACCTTCATAGTGCTGCATGCGACCCTTTCACACAGTTCCTCATCTTGTGCTGACCCCCAACCGTTAAAATTATTTTCATTGCTACTTCATAACTAATCTTGCTACTGTTATGAATCACAATGTAAATATTTTTGGAGATGTTGCCAAAGGAGTCATGACCCACAGGTTGAGAACCACTGTTTAGAGAACTTCAGTCCATTGTGACTGGGAGGGCATGGCAGAGCCTGCCAGTTGCTGGTGTACCAGGGAAGCTGGAAGCGGATGGGTGTAACCTTCAAAGACCCACCCCAGCTACCTACTTCTAGTAGACTTCACTCTAAAGGTTCCACGGCCTCCCCAGTAGTACCACCAGCTAGGGAACAGGTGTGGAAAATATGAACCTGTGGGTATTTCAGGTACAGACTAGAGCAGCGGCACCATTTCTTCATTACTATTTGAATATTTAGTAAGATATTCTAAGTTGTAAGAATATATTGTTTTCCTACTTTGGAATCTCAAAAATTATTTGAGTGAAGATTATGAAAAAGGCTTGTTTTCCCTGTGAACCCATCTAATCCCCCTAAGGTGGTCTTGATGCCTACTTCAAAACACAAAGCTGGAACTGTGCGTGGAGAGGCAAAGAGAAGGTAGGAACTGGGAAATGAATTCACGGTGAAATAAGAATCAGTGTGTAGCAGGCATGGTGGCACATGTCATTAATCCCAGCACTCGTCAGAGAGAGGCCGGCCTGATCTACAGAGTGGGTTCCAGGACAGCCTGGGCTACACAGAGAAACCCTGTCTCTAGAAAAACAAAAACAACAAATAAAAGAGAATCAATGTGTGTTCAGTAAACAGAACAAGACTAAGAATTGAAGACCAGGGAAGAAGAATGGCTTGTGTATGTGTGTTTTAATATATACTAGGAATCTGAAAAAAAAAAAACCCTGCCTACACCATCCAAATACCACAAACCCCATTTATGTAAATATTATCTGTAGTTTGCTTTCTTTTTATTTTTTGGAGACAGACTCACTATGTAGCCCTGGATGGCCTTGAACTCACAGAAATCAGTTTACCTCTGCTTCCCGAGTTCTGGCCGGCATATTAAAGGCATGCACCACCTGCCCAGTGACCCCAATCAGACCATAACTATTATAAATATAAGTAACTGAAAAAAGTTTTGAAGATTAGGGGAAAGACTTGTTTTTTCCTGAAAATTACATACATAACAGTTGTGGTTCAACTGGGTTGCCAGCCTGTATATAAGTTCTGTAAAAGTTTATTGGTGTGCCAACACAATTTATTCCAGTTAACTCTAGCAATAGAGTTACAACAGCTTTGACTACCCTTCTTGAATTTTACCAGATAAACGAGAAGAAAACACACATGTTTGTACTTATCAAATACATTTAGGACATTGAAAATCCACAACAGTAAATATCTAAAGGTGAATATCATATTGTTAAATGTTCTATAATGACTTCAGAGAGCAAACAATCTAAATGTATTTATATATATGCTTTAAAATTATTCTGGGACTGGCAGATGGCTGAGCAGGAAAGGGACCTTGCTGCTATGCCTGGCAACCTGAGTTTCATTCCTGGAACTCACATAATGGAAGAAGCAAACTGACTCCCACAGCTGTTCTCTGACCTTCACACACACACACACACACACACACACACACACACACACACACATTTATTTAATTATTATATATACAGTACCTATAATATATATATATATATTTAATTATTCTGTTAAAATTTTGAAGCTTTTATCTGGAAATTGAATTCTCTAGCTAACATGTTCTTACATTTTAGAACAGAGACATCTCTAACATAACTTTTTAAATTCTCAGTTCTTTGCTTCCTGAAGATCAGAAATCTCTTAAAATAGATCAGTTTTTAAATTCCTTAACATTGATTCATCTGTTTAGTATTCTAAAAGTAGCAATATGCTCCAAGTTATCCCTGTCTGTATAGA